GCCTGAAGCCGGGGGATGGGGGGCACAGCGACCCACCCCATGGGAACCCTGCTGGGGAGGAAGGGTGAGGAGGGCGTGGGAGGTGTGGGTGCGATGGTGGAGGCTTGGCAGGGACAGAAGCTGGATCTGGAAGATTCTGTGACATCAGGAGACACAATAGCATCCCATTATGAACACACTTTAATCCTCGTCTCAACCAACAAAGTCTTTAATTGTGAAGACTGAGGGTGGCTGTGTCAGGAGTGGGACGGACCCTTCCTCGTTCCTCAGCCCCGAGGGGTCTCCATCCCACCCCGATGGAATTCCAGGGAGGTCTGATGTCCGCGGTGGAGCGGCCGTCTCTTTCTTCACTCAGACTTGCATCGGAGGGCCTTGAACTTGGATGTCCGTAAGAATGACAACTGGCCAGTGTTGTACACTCTACTCAAGGCAGGATGAAAAGAATTTTAGAGATTGTTTTTTTCTTCACACCTCTTTTTAAAATCCTATAGCATCTTATGTGCTGCTCCTAAGCCCTTCCTGTGGCTGTCCCTGCTGCCACACGGAAGCATTCATCGTGACAGGCATATCTGTGGGTTCTCAGGGCCGCGTCCCTACCCATTACCCACAAAACACGCTGCGGTTGCGTGCCCAGGCTTGGAGGGGCTCATGGGCTCCCCCAGTCTCTGTGTGACTGGGCCGGTCGCTGACCCTCTGTCTGCGTCTGTGCTGCCGGGTGGGGCACGGGTGTCAAGATGACTGCATGGAAGGTGCTGACCGCCAGGGCACCAGGGCAGGAACAGCTGCCCCGGCTGCGGACAGGGAGAGGCCTGTAGTAGGGAGACAGAAGTGGGTTTGAGGGTGTCGTGCTGGGGTGAGCCTGTGGAGGTGGCCGGGTCCCGGCTGGCCTTCGCCTGGAGATTGACCTGAATGGATGGGGCCACCTTCCATCTCTTGTGCAAGCATGAAGCTGGCCAGGCTGGAGCTCTGCAGGCATGCTGGGTCTCCTGGGACCAGGCCAGCTGTCCCTCCTCCGGGGCAGGAGGCGTCCAGAACATGGATGTCTCTGAGGCTTGAGCTGGCGGCAGGGAGGTGAGGCCAGGAGGGTGCCCTTCCCTTCGAAGGTCAGCCTCAGCCACTGCGGCTCTCCCAAGTCCCCTCTCTGCCTCGCATTCCTGTCCTTAGCATGAGACACATCTCCCGAGCCTGCCTTCTGGTCTCTGGGTCCTGGCCCTGCTCACTGGATCTGAGGAGTGCCAGGCAGGGATCATTTACCTTCCATTGAAAGATGAGGAGACTGAGGTTCAGATGGCTCACTAGCTTGTTTAGGGCCGCGTGGCTAGTAATTGACAGCTGGGTCTGCATGGCCTCAAAGCCTGTGTGTGGCCCACTCTTTGCACATGCTTCTGGAAACTTCCGCGTCTCACTGAGCGTGGTCTCAGACCTCAGTGTTGGCCTCGCCTGTTGTTCACCCCTCCTGGAACCTGGAGTTCTTCACTCAGCTTCCCTGGCTCTGGTTTTGATGTCCGAGAGGGACTTGAGGCCTGTCCCAGGCTTCTAGCCTCTCTGCTGGTCCTGCTGTCTCAGGAGGCCCCTGGATACCAACCTCCCAGCTCAGGGAGTGTCACCACCCAACCCACTGCCTGCTGAGCCCTTTCCCACTATAGCCTATGACCCTAATGTCCTTAGAGTCTTGGCCATGACCCCCACATTCTGCACATCTGCTCCAATGCCATCTCTTCCGCAGGTCTTCTGTCCCTGTAAAGGCTCGGACTGGGCCCCCTTTCCCTAGTGGGAGGCAGTGGGAGCTCTCTGTCCCCGGGCACATCCTGAGCTTGTGGCGCAGGGGGACTGGCTGTCACCACACCTGCCCTGGCTGTACTCCTGTGCTCGGTCACTTGTCTGCAGGTGTCTGAGTGCAGGTCTGTGAGTGATGGTCCTGCTGCTCTCGGGTGCTGTGCTGTCTGTGTGTCATTCAGCCGTACGCACAACCTGTCATCCTGCAGGGTGGTCCTTGTCTTCCTGCCTTCCTTCCCAGGCTGCAAATGCCATCTGGAAGAGGGCAGGCGCCAGCTTCTGTCTTGTTGGGAAGTCAGCTGATCAGTGGCTGCTGTCAGGAGAGCAGCGTGGTTGGTTCATCCATGTGAGGGGGGCAGGAAGGAGAGGGTCAGGGACCGGGTGGGCCACCAGTCTTCTCTTTGCAGACTGAAGGCACCTGGCTGCAGAAGGATGTGTGGACCTACCTGGCCTCCGTCAAAGGTAGGAGGCAGGCAGGGTGCACCCATAGGGAGCTAGTGGGTGCAGAGCTGGGAGGGTGTGCGAGGGCTATCAGTGGGAGGTCCGCACCTTCCTTCCTGCCCCAAAGCCATGCCCGAGGCCTCCAAGAAGCTGAATGAGTGTCTTCAGGAGGTGTATGAGCCTGACTGGCCCGGCAGGGTTGAGGCCAACAAGATCGCAGAGGTGAGCGTGGAACCGGCGGCCCTGGCCCTTCCTGGAGGGCGCTCTGGCCTCAGCTCCCGTCCCACTGGGCCGAGCCCTCTGGGACAAGCCGCTGTGATTCTCCGGTGTTCATGTGCTGTGTGCCCTGGGGTAAGCTGCCCTTCCTTTCTGAGGGCTCTTCTCCTGGCATACCCTCACACCAAGGTGGGTCAGATGGTGGGTCGTGGTCGTCCTTACTTGTGTGTTACGGCTCACGACTCACAAAGCCTCCCTGGCTGACCCCAGTCCTCAGCGTATCTGATCCTCACAGTCACCAGTAGGGCAGGAACTGTTGCCCCCATCTTACAGATAGGGAAACTGAGGCTCCGAGAAGCCACCAATCTGTAAAGAGATGGGGCTGGGACTCGTTCCTGGGAGGTGAGTGCTGGGGCGAGGGTGGCCCAGCACCCTGGTGACATTGTCATGTTCTTGCCCATCTCAGAACAATGACCTGCTGTGGATGGATTACCATCAGAAGCTGGTGGACCAGGCGCTGCTGACCATGGACACGTACCTGGGCCAGTGCCCTGACATCAAGGTGAGAGGTCTGCTTGCAGGTGCCTGGCTTCCTGGAAGGACGTGGAGAGAGGGCAGGGCCCAAGGCGTGTGGCTCAGGCCAGGAGGAGGCTGCCCTGGAGGCAGGAAGCCCCTGGCCTAGCATTTTATCCTCCAGAGCTGCTCCCTCTGCTGCCAGCCCGCCGCCCCCATTCTCCAGACCTGTGTCTTCCTGTCCCTTTTGGTCTCAGGGCTGTGGGAGGAGGTCCCACGGTGTGTGTGTGTGTGTGTGTGTGTGTGTGTGTGTGTGTGGCTGAGGAGTGGCTGGCTGTGTGATTGTGGAAGGCGTAGAAGGGGGAGCAGGGCCGAGGGATGTGCGTGCCTGCAGGTCCCCTGTGTTTACACCACGTGTGCTTGGAAGAGTATGTGTACATGTTACCTGTTTGTTGTCTGGGTCTGCACGTGTGGGTGTCTCTGTGTGGTGTGTGCATTCACAGCCTGCTGTCTCTGCCGGGCCTGGGTGGGTGCTAGGAGGTGGCAGTGTCTCTGGTCTCCACCAAGGCCAGTGATCTCCGGGCGACGTGCACTTGGAGCCGAGGCTGATCAGTGGGTTGACGAGATCCCCTTGGTGGGTGGGATGGGGGTGTCATGCTCATGCTGGCCTCAGGGCCCCCCAGTGCAGTGGCCTCAAGCTCCCGGAGTCTGATATTAGTGGCTCTGGAGATGAGAAGCTGGGGGTCAGGCTGAGGAAGAGACTTGGCTGACACGTCACCAGCTGGTGGACGCGGACACATGGGCTCATGTGCAAGAAAATGTTTCACACAGTGGGGCTGGACCGCTGGCAGGGGTGAGCTCTCTGCCACCAGAAGGGTTCCAGCAACCGGGGCTCAAGGGCTCCTGTGGAGCTGGGGTCTCCTGCCCGCCCTAAGGGTCCATGTAGGGTCTCTGGAGTCTCAGGAGGGATGCCAGACCCCACTCAGCACCCTCCCCCATCTGCCCCAGTCACACATCGCCAAGCGGGGACGCAAGCTGGTGGACTACGTCAGTGCCCGGCACCACTACGAGTCTCTGCAAACCGCCAAAAAGAAGGATGAAGCCAAAACCGCCAAGGTAGGGGCTGGAGGCGGTTTGGGCTGGTGTCTGCAGGGGGCTGAGAAAGGCAGGTGTCCAAGACCCGAGGGTGGAGCCTTCCTTCTGCCTGGGCCCAGGTGGCTGAGCTGCAGGGTGGGGACAGTGCTGGGCCCAGGCCGGTGAGTGAGAGGCCTCTGTGGGTGCCCGGGTGGGGCTCACCGTAGGCCCATTCCTGGCCCCGCAGCCCTGATCCAGGCCACCCGTCAGCCTGAGAGTGGGCCTCTTGGGTCTCCCTGGAACGGTGCTGCCCTGCCTGGTGAGCCGGGTGGAATTCCGTCACGAGATCCCAGGTGACCCGTCCCTGGCTGGAGGGAGCCGGGGGCGTGCAGGGCTGGCCCCACTCATCCTAAGGCGAGGGGCTGGGACGGTCCCTCCTCCAGGCAGGGCCATGCTTGCCAGGTCCCCTGTGCTGCTAACCATGCTCACCTTTGCCTCTGCAGTTGGAATTCACCCCCTCTCCTTGCCCCCTTGGGCTTCCCCTGATTCTCACGACCTCAAGGGCCCATATCTACTTGGGGTGGCCCCTGCGTGTGGGGCGTGTGGACGTGCGTTTAATCTGTGTGTCTCTGTTTCTCTCTCCCCACCTCCCTGGTCTCTCCACCCTCCTTTGCCTTGACCTCCCCACCCCAGCCTGTCTCGCTGCTTGAGAAAGCCGCCCCCCAGTGGTGCCAAGGGAAACTGCAGGCTTATCTCCTAGCTCAAACTAACCTGCTCCAAAATCAGGTGATGCTGGCTTCTAACCTTGCACGTCCTGGTGCCTTCCGGTCTGTGGTCCTGTCCTCTCGCCCTGCGCCACTGGGATGCAGGGCTGGTGTCTGAGCCTGGCAGGCCAGGCAGGGTGTTTTCAAAGGCCTCTGCTGGGAGAGCTCCTGCTTCAGAGGAGACCTGAAGTCAAATGGAGGGGTCAGAGAACCGGCTGAGGGGCTCCGTGTGACCTGGGTGGGGACATAGGTGTGCCCGCTCTTCGGCTGCATCTGTGGTCATTCCTGGAGACTCCTCTGAAATCCGAGGTGCTCCAGGCATGCCTTTGAACCATTTGCCCTCTGTGAGGGCTCCTTTGGGGAGGGAGGTGACATCATCAGGCCCCTGTGCTGCCATGCCTGTCTCCTTCAAGCCTCATGACAACTCTGAGATCATCTTGAATTTACGGAGCAGACAAAGCTTCCCAGAGAGGCACATCACAGCCTGGGGCCTGAGCCAGTTAGGGGACAGTTGGGGATCTCCTGACTCACGCCCCTGCACCATTTCCCTAGGACTTGTGGCTCCCATGGTGACTCTGGAGGAGTTACTGGGAGGACCCTCCAGTCTGGCTGGGATGCTGAGACCTGGAGGGGAAGCATGGGCCCTGGAGGGTTGGCTTTTGGGGATTCATGGAGGGCTAGTGATCCACACCACAGTGTTCCTGGAGGGCTTCCCGGAGGAGGCTGTTGGTGCAAAACTCCTCGGCCGTCTCACCATCTTGGCCATAAATGCTATGGTCTTATCAGCCCCCTGTCCTCCAAATGGGTCACGGTGTGGCCAGGGACCGCTGGATGCAGTGCCCTGTGAGAGGAGGGTCACGTGGTTTTCTTTCCAGTGAAACTGAGGCACATTTCAGGTCAGCGTAGTCACAGCCTGGATGAGGCCCTCACACTTGTTCATATTCCCAACGGGCCGGGGGTAGGGGCCTGGCCCAGAAGGTTGGGTTTCTCTCTGGCCAGCTGCCTTATTTTTTCCGAGCTGCCTCTTGATTTCAGCATTTTCATTGAGTGCCTGTGATGTGGAGAGCTCTGGGTGGGTTTGGCATGGCTTGCTGTCCAATTTCATTTTCTATTTTTTTTTATTTGAAGGAGTCTTGCTCTTCTCCCTAGACTGGAGTACAGTGGAGCAATCATGACTCACTGCAGCCTCGACCTCGCCAACTCAAGCGATCCTCCTGCCTCAGCCTCCCAAATAGCTGGGACCACAGGCACGCATCACCATGCCTGGCTAATCTTTAATGTTTTGTAGAGGTTGTGTCCCATTATGATGCCCAGGCTGGTCTTGAACTCCTGGGGCCAAGTGATCTGCCTGCCTCTGCCTCCCAAAATGCTTTGATTACAAGTGTGAGCCACTGCTCCTGGCCTGCCTGTCCAATTTCTCACCTGATGTGCTGCCTGATTTCTTTTAGGCCAGAGCTGACTTTGGAGGCACTGAGTGTTGACAGCCTCATCCTGAGGTCAGGGTGCCCTTGGAGAGTCAGGGGCTGGGGGTGATGCCTAGGGGACCTCTGATAGGCCCGAGACTTCATCTGACTCTGGAGGTGGAGGAGGAATCCGGGGCTGGAGTTGGGGTGCCCTGCCAGTCAGTTCAGCACTTGGGCTGGAGGAGGAATGTGACTATTGACCGGGGTTTCTGAATCATTTTCCCTGAAACAGGTGAAACATTTTTTTTTGGTTGGGAGAACCCCTTAGGAGACTATAGGGCCTGCCCACTGCTTTGGGCTCCTGGGATGGGTGTGGCTGGGATTCCCTGCCCCCACCCCCACCCTGGGTAAGGCATGTGATCACATCTTTGGGTGCTGGGCTGTAGATGTTTCCCATTTTGGCCAAACTGGCTGTCCCATTTGGGTGCCACCTTTATTTAAGCACATCCTCCTTGTCCCCACCCCACCATACCTGGCTGGAGGCTGGAGAGCCTTTGGAGTGAACTGTCGGCAGCTGGCTGGCGGTGAGATGGGACAGCTGGGACCCCGGGGGTGCCCTGCTGGGGGACTTGACTTTGAGGAGACAGTGCATCCTCTCTAGGCAGCGCCTGGGGGGCTGGCCAGCTCCACGCAGCCCCTGGGCTATTTCTCACCTGCTCTCCACGCCTGCCCTGGCCTCCTGAACGCTGTCCTCGGGACCCCAGGCTCCTGTGACTCTGCCCTCCCCCACTGTTAGCTTCAGTGGAGCCATGGGGGTGGCACGCCCTCCTCACGGCAGACGGCCCTCACCTCACTCCCTGCCCCTTCCACATGCTTCCGAAGGAGCCAGAACATGAGGAGTGTCACCCAAAAGGAATACAAGACACAGGTCCTGACTTCAGGAGCTCTCAGGTGAAACTGTCCCCACTTGTGTTCTCTGCAGTGTTGGGCTGCGTGAGCACGGCTGGGTGCAGAGGTGTCCCCTAGACAAGCCGTGGTGCTGTCTTCACTGATGTCCCCACTATTGCGAACTGGAGGGTTGGGGTGGTGGCTATGTCCTCATGGAGAGTGGGTCCTAATGGGTACTGGGGGCAAGAAGGGCCGTCCCTGTGAGGTGAAGTGAAGGCTGGTGGCTGAGGCTGCCAGGAGCTGGCCTCAGAAACTGGGAGGGAGCCCTCGGGGGCAGGGGTGGGATGGGGTGGGGGGAAGGCAGTGACAGATGCTGCCCTGAGAACCTGAAGTCAGCAGCAGGGCTGGCACCTAGCCTGAGGGGGTTCATGTGGAAGTGGCGGGGTCCCCACTTGGCTGGGTCTGGGATATGCCTCTGCGCATGCCCTGTGTCCAGCTCGCCCAGCCCCCGTCTTGTCCCTTTTGTTGAGCCCTACTCGCCGCTCACTGCCCTCCCAACCGCCTGGGCCTTTCTTTGCCAATGGCTGCTCAGTCCTCCCTTTCCTTGACGTCCTGAGGGTCCTGGCTGGCCAGGAGGGGTGGGCAGGAGGGGGGTGGACTGGCCACGGGGCTGGGCTGGCTGGGACGGACGCCCAGCAGAGGGGAATGACACGTGCTGCTCCCCAGGCAGAGGAGGAGCTCATCAAAGCCCAGAAGGTGTTTGAGGAAATGAATGTGGATCTGCAGGAGGAGCTGCCGTCCCTGTGGAACAGGTGAGGCCGGGCGCAGCGTCCAGCCTGCGTGCTTTGGTGCCTACATGCTGTGGTGCCCACGTGCTACGGTGTCCGTGTGCTACGGTGCCCACGTGCTGCGGTGCCCACCTGCTGCGGTGCCCATGTGCTGCGGTGCCCACGTGCTGTGGTTCCCACGGGCTGCGGTGCCCGTATGCTGCGGTGCGGACGTGCTGCAGTGCCCACGTGCTGCAGTGCCCGTATGCTGCGGTGCCGACGTGCTGCGGTGCCCGTGCCCTCGGGTTTGTGTCTCTGATGAGGGTGTGTGGTCGCTCGTGGGTGGGGATGTTTCTGAGTTGCTGCCCTGACCTGCCTGTTCACCTGGCCCCCATCCTTCCGCCCTCCTGTAGCCGCGTAGGTTTCTACATGAACATGTTCCAGAGCATCGCGGGCCTGGAGGAGAACTTCCACAAGGAGATGAGCAAGGTAGGCCCTGGGGACCCCTCTGAGGTGCCACACTCCGCCCTGGCCAAGGGTTGAGTCAGCGGTGTGTCAGGGGCGGCCTGAGCTCCTCCTTCCCCACCAGGTTCAGCACACACCCGAGGCCACAGCGATTCCTCCGGGCCCTGTGGAATAGCGCCTTTCAGGAGTGCCCAGGCCCAGGAGGGCAGGAGGGCATGCGGGGGAGGCTGTGATTGGGTCCGGGTCTTCCCCTGGGCAGGACGGCCTGAGGACATAGACCAGCCCTTTCAAACCGTGAAGGTGTTCTCTAGCGACCTTGGCCCAAGGAGTGCCGTGTTAGGCAATGATGGTGGTTTCCCAACTTGTAGGAACAAATAAGTTACTACCCTCTGCTCGGTTCCCCCACCTCCTCACTGTCTCTCCCTCAGCTCAACCAGAACCTCAACGACGTGGTGGTCAGCCTGGAGAAACAGCATGGGAGCAACACCTTCACGGTCAAGGCCCAGCCCAGGTGCGTGCGGGGAGGGCCCTGGCACCCGTGACTCTGTGCACGGCAGGGGCACGGCTCCTTCCTGTGACCCTGTTGGTGCCCTCCCTGGTCTCCTGTGGGTTTGGCCTTGGGAGTCTAGGGACCTCCATGTCTTGGCCTCTCTGTGCTACGGGAAGCAGGTGAGGGCAGGTCTCTGTCTCCAATGTCCCTGCCCCTCTGGCTGTGTTCATCAAGGAAGGAGCACTCTGGGGAGCCCACGGGTCCCTGAACCAACTGACCCCATCACTGTGGAGCAGAAGCAGCCAGGGTTGGGGTGGGCAGCCTGCTCAGCTTTGGGGGCTAACAGTGTGAACAGGGCTGACTCCGGGGTGTGCAATCCTCTCAGAGCAGGGAGGTAGCGCCCCCTTCCCTCTCCTGCTCCTGGAAAAGCTCATGTCCCTGGATGGTAGCATTATGCTCACCCAAATGGGGTCCTCTTCCTGTCCGCAGCCCCCATCCCTCTGGGAAGCCCGGCTTCGAGGGGGGTCTCTGCTTCCTGAGAGGACAGCGTGAGGGAGGAGGGAAACGCCTCGCTCCCTGGCTGTGGATCAGAGGACACAGCAAGCCTGGGAGGGCTCCTTTCTGGCCATGTGTGCATGTGTGCGTGTGACGGGGGCTGTGTGTGACAGGTGTGAGTGTGCATACACACAGGCATGTCTCAGCAGAGGGCGGAGAGCACCGATGAACCCTGTAAAACTCGGCAACTGTCTGCTTCCTGGGGTACCTGGAGTATTGCCTGGGATGATGCGGGCATCGGGTGGTGGTGATTGCCCCCTGCTTCCCTGAACATAGAATAGGTGCGGCTGACAGAGGGGGCGTGGTGCCCTGAGTGGGGGAGTGGGGGGGTTAGGAGGGCGACGTGGTGGAGGGTGGGGAGCGGGGGGTGTTGTGGAATAAAGGCCAGAAGGCGAATCCAAGGTCAGGCAGGGAGGGACAGCTGGGAACTCTAGGATGGGTAAGCAGTGGGACAGATGTAGGTACAGGTGGGAACACTGGGATAGGTAAACGGGGGTACGGGTGGCCGTCCTGGCCAGAACCATGGCTTCCTTTGGGAAGGGGGTGGAGGGAAGAGAGAGGGCAGTGGAGGTCCAGCAGCCTCCCTTCCCGCAGAGTGGCCCCTTGTGCGCTCTGTGTTGGGCTGGGGGCCTTTCCTGGCATTCTGGGTGCACCTGGAGCCCCTGGGGACTGGGACCACAGGCAGGGCGAATCTCCCCTGTCCCAAGCCTCCTGCCCCTCACCAGGCCCTGTTAGCTTCACCGCGGGCACCTGGCCACAGCAGAGACCAGCCAGGGCACGGGGGATAGTAGGTCCAGGCCCTCTGCAAGGCCTCTGGTACTTAGGAGAGGCTTTTGCCCTTTAGTCCTCTGAGCAGAGGGGCTGGCAAAGAGGGAAGGGGACAGGCCGGTTCTGCACCTGGGCTTTCCCAGAATGAAGGCCTCCATGTCCCGTCCGTCCCCACAGAAAGAAAAGAAAACTGTTTTCGCGGCTGCGCAGAAAGAAGAACAGGTACCGGCAGTGAGTGCTGCGGCGGGGCCCGATGCCCGCGGCCTGGTCGGCCCTGTGCATGCGCCTTGCGCCGGCGCCGCTAACCCGTAACCTGGCTCTGTGTGCCGTGCTGCCCGGCAGGGCTGTCGTGTGCGTGTCGGGTGGGAAGGCAGAGGCGGTGCCGGGGGGCAGTCCTCTGATCAGCCGGCTGGATTGAGCACGTTCCTCTGGGCGCCCCTCAGTTGTCCAGCCCCGGGCGGTGGCCCAGGCCACCAGCGCACTTACCGTGGAGAACAAGCCTGGGAAGGAGGCCTGGGGAGGGCCAGGGAGGAGGCACTACAGCACGGTGGGTTTTTTGTTTTCTAATTCTATGTGTATATACTGACATATATTCTTTAAGGAGGATACATTCCCACAAAACACAAATTCCAAAAGGGAAGATGCTGTCAGTGACATCACCTACGCTGTTCCATTGTTTGTCCCCAGGTGACTCGGTCACTGGTTCCTGTTCGATGCTTCTAGACCTGCAATGCCCAGCACAGGAGCCAGTTGTCCCATGGAGCTATTGAGCACTAGAAACTGGCCAGTGTGATGCCACAGCTGTACTTTTCATTTAAATTACATGTAAATTTCATTAATTTGAGTTTGCATTGTCACCTGTGGCTACTGGCAACTGTATTGGGCAGCACCATTCTAGGCCTCTCTATGCAGGTTCTCGTAGGGAATTTTCTCCCTGCACCCTCGCCCCGTGCCTGGGGTGCACAGCATCACACCACCTCCCCCTTGGGTTTTGACACTGACCGCCATGGCTTGGGACCTGTGCCCTCCATCCCCAGCTGCCCGCTCCCCTGTGATGAGGACGCCTGTCTCTGTCTGTCCAGGCCCTTCTCATGGCCTTCAGTGGCCAAGAGGAAAAGCAAGCCAAGGTCTGGAGACATGTGCCAGGGTGCTGTGATGGACAGGCCGGGGGCAGTGAGGAGGCCTGAGGGCAGCAGGCTGGTGAGCAGTCCCAGAACAGAGGGCCTGCTGTGTGTAGCATGGGGGACTCACTGTGCCTCTAGGATG